AGATGACAGCATTTAATTATATTTGGTGTATATTCTAGGACTCTCCTCAGATGCCACAGTTTTGACACCAAATACAGAAAGCAGCTGTGATTTAATGACCAAAACTAAATCAACTAGTGGAAATGATGACAGCACATCCTTAGATCTCGAGTGGGAAGATGAAGAAGGTATTTTATAATTCACAATTTTACCTGAAAAGTTGAACTTAATCTGCATATATAAATCTTTTATCTTGGTCTTTTACTTTATTTAGTGGAAATAAGTGCAAGACCTTGAAAAATCATATAAAATTTTTATTGTATTAGTGATTATCATTGTTGATAAATTGTTTAGAAAGTTGCTTAGTTTTTGTTTCTTGAAATTTAGAAAATATATGTTCGTTAAGGTTTTTATATTCCAGCCCATGATATTACTCAATATGAAGGATTATTGCTCCCTTGTGGGCAGTCTACAGCCAAAAGTTAGTTAACTTTTAGTTCATTATAAATTAGTGATTTAATTGTTAGTACTTTTGGTAGAACAGAAGCTGTAACTCAGATATGAGTTTAAATTTTAGCTGGCATGTCTTCATAGCTGTAGTACATTAGGTAGATTACTTAGTTTGTTGATTGTAAAAAGGGAATACTAAACCTACTTTAAAAGATAATTTTTTGCTATTATATATTTAGGGTCTAAAAATGTCTGGCACATAATAGGCAATCAATAAATATTTGAACAAATGAATGGATGAATGTTGTGAGGATTAAATTTTATATATATATATATATATACACACACACACACATAATTTTAATGCAGTGTATGGCACACATTAAGTACTCAAAATTATAGCTAAAATGTTGATTTTTTTTTAAAAAAAGCTATTTCACTGAATAATGCCCAAGTTTTTATTTTCACTTTAAGAAATAGGCAATCCAAAAAGAAGACTCAGTTATAGAATATAAAGCTTTACAAAAAATAATAAGCATTAAACATTTCATAGAATTTAGAGATAGAATAGACCTTAGATATCCTCCAGTCAAGCCATTTGTTTTATCAAAAAAAAAAACAGATACACAGGGAACTTGAATAACTTCATCAAAGATTGCATCAACTTTCTTAAGTCTTCTCAGCTAGACACCACTTTTTCAATCCTGTACTTAACATTATTGCATATTTGGATCCCAATCATGAGACTTTAAGTTTATTGTAATTTTAGCATTTTGTTCAATTTCTAAAGCCTTTCAGGTCTTTTAATCACTGTGTCTGTCATCCACATTGTCAGATTTGAAGATAACTTTCTAGGTCATTATGCAAGTTATTAACAGACCTATTAAACTAGACTAGGTAAAGAACAGAAACCACTGGAAATCTGCTTCTAGGTTGATGTACATAAATCCACAGAAACAAATCCACCAGATATAAATCCACAAAATTATATTAGCATCTAGCTCAGATTTTTTCTTGTCAATAGAAATAACTTGCTTTACTGGGTTGAGTCTTTGTGATTTTTCAGGAGTGACAGACGACAGTGGTACAGATTTAAATGTTCTTTTATTACAGTAGGATCTGATTCTTGATGGTCAGAAAACAAAATTGTTAAATGTATCTAGGGATGTTCTCTTATCCCTTTGCCAATCCTAGATTTTAATTCTGTTACCAGTGTTGATTCTGTACTTACAAATTCAAATTTCTTTTCTGTCCCTTCTCCTTTCCTTCTGCCAATAAAATGACATTGTTTTTTCTTCCAAAATTTTTTACACTTTCACTTTACCAACCTGTTGCATTCGGTTCAGAATTAGATCTAACAATTTCCCTTGAAGATATCTCTTCTTTGTTGATGGTGTACAGTCAGAAATGGCATAAGACCATAGACTTTAGAGCCAGAATGAATGGATTAAAATTCTTGCTCCACAACTTTTTATCTGTGTGACCTTGCACAAATCACTTAACCTTTCTGCCCCAGTTTCCTCACCTACAGAATGAGGATAATGACAGTACTGTACTTTATAGAGATGTTGAAGATTCAATTAGTTAATATATACAAAGGGCATACAACATTAATAGAAACCTAGTAAGTACTGGCAAAGTGTGTGTTGTTATTATTACCATTAGAGTGATTTTCATTCTCTGGGAAATGAAATAATCATCTGGGTAGACATACCAATTTGGACATCTAAGACTAATAGCAACTGAAATCCTTCATCCATTCTGTTTTATTTATGGCTCTTCAGAAATTTCATCTCATCAGATGATCAATGTTGCATCAAAACTGCCCTTTGGTGTATTAATATTTATTTTTATCTAATGCATACTTCAAGATTAAACCCCAACAATTTCCCTTAAGAAGGCCTCCATGGGACTGGCTCTAAGTTAATTCACCAATCAAGTCTGATAGTTAAATAAGAACTATAATGCTAAACTGGGAAGTTTCTTAATATAGCTTTTTATCTTCACTGAGATTTCTAAAAACTCTGTTCAAATCATAGGAATGAACAGAATGCTTCCAATGAGAGAACGATCCAAAACAGAGGAAGACATTCTCCGGGCAGCACTTAAGTACAGCAGCAAGAAGACTGGAAGTAATCCTACATCAGCCTCTGATGATTCCAACGGGCTGGAGTGGGAGAATGATTTTGTTAGTGCCGAAATGGACGATAATGGCAATTCCGAGTATTCTGGATTTGTAAATCCTGTGTTAGAACTGTCTGATTCTGGCATAAGGCAATTTGATGCAGATCAACAGACTCGATAGGGTAAAATAGTGTGACCCTGTATATCAGTTACGACCAAATGTTGAAGACCAACTAGAATGTATAAATGGTTATGCTGAGCCTTTTTGTAAGGGGAAGGTAAGAAACCATGTTGTAAATGCTTATTTTATTAGAAAGGAGTAGGGATGATAGGATAGATCTGAATTGCTTCAGAATTAAGTGCAATTTCATCATCTGCCTTCTGCTTTCAAAACCAATTTAATGGTCCTGTCATGTTACCAGTTAAATTTAACTCTTTTCTTTATAGCATTTCTGTTTACTATTACAGATTTTCACTTTAAAAAAAAATTGTATTACTTTGAATGCTTTATTAAGCTTATTTCATTATCTGACTATGGAAAATACTAAGACTTTTTTTTGTTAATTCTCAGCAGATGTGAAGGGAACGTGAGGAAGGATTGTCAGAGTCAGATTTAGAGTAGTGTTCCCTTTTTCTAGCATTATTTATTTCTATGACTTCTTTGAATTTTATTATCTAACAGTAAGCACAATTAATTTGAGTAGATGACTCTAAGAAATGCTAAAGTGTTGGCTTCTTTTTACATGTATTACGCATCCTAGTATGATAACGTCGATTCAGTCTGAACAAAGGATAATATAAAAATGAAGTTTCAGAATTTGGACATTTCAAGTTGGTGATAATCATAAATAATATTTAAGAAAATATATATATTTAGGTTTTTCACTTCATCTTACATGCCACTATATTGACTAAGTTAATTGATATATAGTATTAAGTTTCTAGGTACCATTATTTTTTTAAAATTCTATATTTCCAATGAATGATCTTAGAAAGATTTTACACAGAACATATTCTCTGCATGATTTAAGAAAGGAAAACCTAAAAAGGTAATACGGGTATTTCAAAGTAAATAAAATCCTTTCTGGTATGAAAGGTTCCATTGATTTTATTAAGCTTTTCTTTGCCTTGTAGTACAAGGTGCTTTAATGGGATAAAACTAAGTATATCAATATATATAACTGCATTTTGTGATAGCCAATTAATTCTTTTCTCTAAAGTTTATATATCAGTATAAAAGGCCAGGGATATAAAACACTCCCTAATTACTTTCCTTGATTTTGCTGAGGACTGAGTATGATTTTAGTAAGCAAACTATTTTTCAGTTTTTCCTTAGTGTTTTTTTCTTTTCTTTTTCTTTCAACAATGACAGTGCATGTTTTCAAAAATATAGGAAGGTCCAGATATAAATAGTAACTAAGAGTTCTTGCTGTACTTAAAAAAATCATGTGGCCCTTTCAATATTTGAACTGCTAAGCAATGACATCTGTAGTTTTATCTCCTTTTTTATCTCATAGAAATAAATATGACTTTAAATATGTAAATATAATACATTAGGTAATGCTATTATTTATGTGTCTTAAAATAATTTGAGTCATAGCTATGTCAGTGGAAATATTTTAAAGGTATTCTATATTCACATTGCCTGTGTTAATGCTTTTTAAAGTTTGTATACATCAGATGTATATTTTTGGTTTGGCATAAGCTACTACTGTAATTTTTCTTGGCTTTTTGTTCATAAAGAATTTTTTGAAGGAATGGTAATTTCTCAAGGATTGTGAATAAACACATTTTTACATTCAAAGGTAATAAATTATTTATTACTGGTTTTACTCCATGAACATGCAAGTATTCTGATTCCTGACTTATTGTATTAAGCCATCGCTATGCCCACCATAGGGAATAAGCAGGAAAACTAGACACAGAAACTAAAATAGTTGTTCAGGCCACTTTGTGTGGTAACAAATGTGTCACTGTACTGGAATAGTCCCAGGATTAGGGAATGGATGTCATACACTATGGCCCACGAGTGACCCATGTCTGAATCAAGAAAAGGTTTAAAACCTCTTTTGTAAGAGGCTGGAGAGTTTATAAAATATTTTAAACAGGTTGTTAGAAAAATATGGACCTTAACTGCAGGAAATTTTATTTGCCTGGAACATTGTACAGGGAGCCTCACTACCTGGTGATGCTAGAATTTAACTTAACTAAATGGTTACAATTATCTATTTAACATTCACTAACTACCTTAGTTAAAATGAGTTGAATGAGAATCTTTTAAATAAGGACAACTTTTTCTGAAGATAAAATTTTAGAAATATTTAGGCATTTATTATAAATGTTCACATATATTTACCTATGTAAAGTGGCTTAAGAACAGTTCTTCTTTAGAAAGAATTTCAAAGAAAATGGTTAGTAAATTACATTTAGACTTTATTATGAGCGTGGATGCTATTAAAAATGTTTCATGGAATTTTAAAATTGTATATAGTACATAAAAATCAAACATCAACTTTGGTAAGCACATAATTGTAAACACAGTGGTTCTTTAAAATGTTTACATATTGGTTTTGGATGCTGAATATAGACAAGGAGAACTGATACCTTAGGAATAAACATTCTACAATGCTATGGAAAGAAAATCATAGAAAAGCAAGGTATTATTTCTCAAATAAGTCTTCCCATACTCAAACCACAATGACACACAGACACTAGTCCGGAACGCATTCCAGGACTCTGGTACTGCAAGTGCCAACAGGCTACGAACACCGGTAACAACCTGCTTGGAGCCTTGACCTTGAAAACAAATGGCTGCTGTGACATGATGTGACCAAACCAAGAGACGGTTCCTTACAAAAACAACGAAATACAGGACGAAAATCAAGCGGAAAGAGAAAATAATATAACCATATTTTGAGAACACTATTTTATCACAAAGGATTTCTTTTTTTTTTTTACATTAACCCTCACAGATTCGTTACAGATCCAAGAAGGCAACAGGTGACTAAGTTGATGACTAATATAATTTACAGACTTTAAAATGATAAACTCCCAAATTTGACAGCATAACAAATGACTATAATTTACTACACTAATAAACTCTTAATAAGTAGTGTCTATAAAGTGTCTACAGAGCTGTTCATCCTTCATGTTTCTCATCTCAGACCCTGTGTTCATTATTCGTTTTCATCCATTTCTGTAGGAGAAGAGCTTTGGGTGGAACAGGATGAAAAATAACGGCCATACTCAGGTATGGGATTGTGTGATGGCCACTTGTTTTCTTGTAAGAGTGATATTGAAGAAAAAATCAGCTGAGTCTCAAAAAATTCCAATGACTCTCCATCTTCCTTCTCCAGCAGGAACTGATACTCTCCAAATCTGACCATGCATCTGTATGGCAGGTCCAATTTATTTAGGTAGCCCAGTTCTCTATTGTCAACAATCAGGTTGGTCTTCTTACTCATATTTTTAATTTCAAAAGACAGAACTGAGCTGTCGAACTTTTTAAACAGCTGCAGAGAAAACTGAACTCGGGAAACCTGTTTGTCCTGAAAAGTATAAAGACAGACCTTAGAATTTCGGCCGAATTTCACCACGTCACTGGAAGGGAGTTTCTCTCGGCTACCAAAATTTATTGATTGAAATATTCCACTTTCCAACTGCCCAGGATGGTAAACAGTCATCCGGAGACAAGTTACTGTCTCTTCTGTGTCAGCATCTTCAAAACTGGCCATGATGTGCACAAGACCCACCTGCAATTATTAAACCACAAAATTAGTTCCTGCCTATACTTGAGGCATCAATAGCTTTAATCCTAATATTCTGCTGAGCAACTTCTGATAGGTGATTTATTTAAACTTTAAGAAAATACATAGAATACTTTAACTAGCAGATATATGAAATCTTATACCAAGAGCCCTATGAGAATTGGTGTATTACCTTTTCCCATCTCTTTATTTTTCATTTCTAGTTTTGATTATAATACCATGCATACAATCTGGACAATGACAAGGAATGATCATTGACAATAAAATTATTTGGGGAAAGCATAAAGAAACCTCAGTTTCTTTCTCATTTAAATAGAGTAACTTGGGCCCAGAGAAAATTTGACAGCTGTGTTTTAAAAAGAAAATCAGGAAATAAAAAATCCTTTTAGTTTGAATACCCTCAGAGGATATATACATAAAGAAAATCTATAGTTTATTTATTACAATTAGTTATATTATGAATTGTGAAACCTGGTTAAAGAAATTTAGTAGTTATAAACAAATAATTGCAACATTTATCCTTTTTGTCTTCACTTAGATTTCTACTAGGTAAATGATTAAAAATCGTAAATGCTTTAAATGGTTATTTTATTCTATAATTTTAAAATTTAGACACTACATACTTTAAAAAAAATAAATCTTCATGAGGTAGTTCTAAATATCATAGCCTGCATTGGTACTGGAATTATTTCTTTTTATCAATGGTTCCTAATGACTGGATGGACAAACCATCCTTAAACCACAGAGAGCACAATCTAACTGCCATTGACTGCATTGCTCTAGAGTGGATGCCCCTGAGCTGCCCGCCACCTACACTTCACTGCATAGATCTTTGATAATTGGTACAGTATTTAAAGGAGTATAACAGGATAGGAGAATTAGTTACTAAAATTTTTGAGCAGTTATTCTGGCATGGAATAGCTATTTTAAAACTAATTTATCTTTTTAAAATGACATGCACATGATTCAAAAATTCAAACAGTAACAAAGGATTTAAAAAACATGTGTCTCCTCCCCAACCCCACCTTAACTCTTTGTCTTCCTCTCGTGAAGTCAATCACTATAAAAGCTGCTTTCGTCTTTACAGAAATTTTGTTTACAGAACAAGCATAACTGTGCATTCACACACACATACACACACACACACACACACACACACACACACACGCACGCATATCTCTCTACAGAGAAAAATTTCCTTACACAAATGAAAACAGAGTATATTTAGCTCTGGACCTTGCAATACATAGCTCTGGACCATACAATACTACACATATGAGTATACCTCATTCTTTAACAGCTGCATAGAATTCCTTTTACTTTAGTGTGATGATAAATTATACGAGTATGAATGCTGCCTGCATTCCTCGGACGACCCTCATGTGCTTGTGCTACTGGACTTGGGGTTTTAGGGTCAATAGTCTTAAGTGAGGTTAATCTGTAGTTTTATTGTTTTTTATTTGCCATCTATATTAGATGTTGGTATCAAAATTATGCTGATTTGGGGAAAAAAAAAAACCAACCAGAATTTCCCGAAATTTCCTTTCTATGCTTGCTGCTACTTACTTTTAAAATCCAATATTTCCTTTGATTTTGCAAAGTTATGCTGCTAAAAACCAAACTCTCAATTTATTCAATTATTCAACAAATGACAAAGCTAAGTCATATTTCTATTGATTTGAAAATGCATCCTTAATTTTACATTTATATCTGTAATATATTTTTGGAACATTATTACATCATATTGCACTATGCAAGCAGACAACATTTGTCTAGCTATATAAGCAGAAAAAGTGAGAGGAACCCTCAAAATCCCAGGCCAGGGGTGGTAAAACCTTCTATGAAACCAAAGCCAGCAAAAATGAACACACAATGCATAGAACTGGTTAATCCATTCTATGTTGTGATTTGAAGACACTTTAATTATGATAATAGTCTCATTATTCCAGAAGCAGACAGCAGAAAAGAGAATAATTATAATAAGTCATGGGTTGATGCAATTGGCAGACGACAAGCAAAGGATTTGCTGTTAACAAGAGCCTAGAAAAGCAGAGCGAGAGTCTGTTGGTCATCTCCAGCTTGGTCCGGGGTCGGCGGCCATCACTCCAGCTCATTCGTGGACTTTGGACAGTAATGGCTCCACATGGAGCACTGGATTAAAAATCATGGCGTATTCTGGATACAGAGTCTTTTGGTAACACCCAAATTCTGTGTGTACTTTACGTAAACTATTAGCTTATAATTCAGTCTATTGAACAAATCCACTACTAAGAGAAGTTTGTCCAATATAGGCTCTTATGCCTACCTAGTCCCCTGGGCAAATATATTATCCACTATAAGAGAAAAAAAAACCGGCATTCTGGTTTGTAAGTCACTGGCTATGAGTGTCTTGGTGTGAATCAATCTTCAGGGTTTGAGCAATCTCAGGGTTCACGACTGTGACTCCATCCACCAAACACTGAGGTACACCATGTTGTTGTAAAACATCCCAGGCCTATCCCCACCAATCCCGCCCTTTTAAAACGCTGATCCATCCCTTTAACAACCACAAATGGAAGTAACCCAGAAACAAACTTCCAAGCAGAAGCCTAAAAGCCCCCGTGTAGTCTGCCTTCCCTCCGTCCCTTGCCAACACAGCAGCCCCAAAAGCTCATCCTGGGTCCCAGAGGGAAGGCCCAAAGACAGAGAGAAATAAAGGATATGTAATATGAGCAGGAAAATCAACCCTTCTTCCTGTGAGCCACCGAGACTCTTGAGGTCGTTTGTTACTGCGCCATGATGCAGCCTGCGATGACGAGAGCGTCACCTGTCTCACGAAGGTATGAAATGACAGCAAATCCTGACAGTAATAGTAAGGGCTACTACTTACTCTATACCTTTCATGTGCCAGGCACAGGGCTAAGCCCTCACATGTATCATCTTATCAAATATTCAAAATAGGTGGGAGGGGGCGCGGTGGCTCACGCCTGTAACCCTAGCTCTCTGGGAGGCCGAGGCAGGAGGATTGTTTGAGCTCAGGAGT